GGGGAGGGGAGGGGAGGGGGGGCCAGATATAGATTCTCTATCTTTGGTGAATCGCTATATATGGAGTAGGGCGAGTATACCATATAGAGAGGGGGTCGAGTCATAGCTATATATAGAGGGGGCCAGATATAGATTCTCTATCTTGGGTGAATCGCTATATATGGAGTAGGGCGCTGTTTCAATCACACGAGTTGCCGGCCCTATCTATATATATATATCTATATATATATAGATATATCACGACCACACGGAGCATATTCCGGTTGCGAGATATATAGATAGGGCAGATAAGATATATAGGGCATGGTCATAATCTATATATGTTGCCGGTTGATCATGTTACGATCACACGAGTTGCCGCGTTCATGGTTGTTGTTGCTAGTTATGGCATGGCGCCCTATCCATATATGGGATATTACATATGTAATATGATTCTCGGAAGATCTATATAGAGGGCAGGGCGCCCCTCTCGATCGAAGAGTGGCATTTCATATTAAGTCAGTAGAGGAGTTCCGTCGAGGAGGAGGCATTTCATGGCATGGCGCCCTATCCATATATGGGAGTACTATATAATATAATACCGACATCAGTGAGTAGAGGGGAAGGCCAGTATTCTTCCCCGTCCGTAGCATTGTCGTATTCCTGCATATACAGATAGGGGCATCAGTGAGAGTGAGTAGAGATTCCTGTCCGTAGCATTGCCATATACAGATAGGGGCATCAGTGAGTAGAGAAGAAGGCAGTGGGTAGAGTTGTATTCCGACATCAGTGAGTAGCCGCCCTCATATATACATATACATACCGACCTTCTCTCTTTACCTCCCTTCTCTCAAGATATATAGATAGGGCGGACGAAGATATATATATAGGGCGGCAATCACGCTCTATCCTTACGCTACTCTCTCCCGACGGCCTACCCTAACTAGATATAGCTTGCCCTGATTGAGAACGGGGCACTCTATATAGGCTGCTCTCGACCGGTAGGGATAGGAGGGCGGCTATAGAGATCCTATATAGAGTCGGGTCGGCACCCTGTCCCTGTCCTGCCTGTCCTGTCCTGTCCTGTATATAGATATGGGCCTCTATACAGACAGATATGGCGACCCTATCTAACTATATGGGAGGACGGCCCCTATCTATATATATATGGGGCACTCCCCCGACGCCTCCCTTCCCCCGATGGAGATGGGCCCTCTCTCCATATATAGCTGTGAGCGATCGGGATAGAGTTTACTATAGCTGGGGCCCCCCTCTCTATAGATCTTATCTCTCTGGGGGCCCCCCCATATAGAGTTCTATATAGGCCAACAGTCTAGGCCCATATCATAGAGTTCTGTGGAGAGGATACGTAGGGGGACCGCCCGCCCAGATCTCTTCTCTAGAGATCCCCCCTCTCTCTATATAGATCCTGAACTATAGGCTGTTGGGGCCCCCCATATAGATAGGGCATCCTCCATCCGGGGCCCTATATCTCCACCTATAGAGAGTTGGGTTGCCCCATATAGTTAGATAGGGCCCCATAGTTCTAGAGGGCCATATAGAGATAGGGGGTTGGCCCTCTATAGAGAACTCATATATCTCTCTATCTCTCTATCTCTCTCTCTATATCTCTATCTATCTCTCTCTCTATATCTCTATCTCTCTCTCTATATCTCTCTCTATCTATCTATCTCTCTCTCTATATCTCTATCTATCTCTCTATCTATCTATAGATAGATCTATATATATATAGATAGATATAGATAGGGCCCCATAGTTCTAGAGGGCCATATAGAGATAGGGGGTTGGGCCTTATCTATATATGGGGCCTAATCGTGGGGCCGAGCGGAGCCCCTATATAGAGAACTGGCCGGGATCTTGCATCCAACATGATTCCCGGGCCGCCCTCTATTAAAATAGAGAGAGGGGGCCCTATCCCCTATCCCAATCTCAGCTTCCCTAACGGTATCTCTGGAGAGATTGGGGCATGTTAGATCTGGGTGCAGCTGGATACAGCATCCCAGTCCCCCATATGAGGAAGATAGCCCCCATCGATTCTCTTTGAATCTCAGCCCCTATCGGCCCCCTGGGGCGCCCTATCGGGGCCCTATATCTATAAGGACGTGACTCTTGGGCACTGACCAGAAGATAGAGGGCCACCAATCTATATCTATATCTATATCTATATCTATATCTATATCTATATCTATATCTATATCTATATCTATATCTATATCTATATCTATATCTATATCTATAGTTTTTTTGGCTGGGCCCATCTGGCTCTACCGGATTGGACACACGGTTCGGGCGGAAACCCCTATCGGCCCGGTCTACCAGATTGGAGACATTGGTGGAACCCGGATCCATATCTGACCGGTGACCTTCTATATAGAGGGCCCCCCCTCTATATAGAATGGGATCCCCAGATAGTTCAGATAGAACTCTAGGGGAATGCTGGTTCGGAACCATTAATCAGAGCGGCCCGGTCCTCGACATGGTCGACAACATCAAGAGAATAACGGTGAAGCAGTGATGCACTCGACCGCATCCCCTAGAATCTATATGGGCATTGATGCACTCGATCAATCACTCACACACCAGCCATATCTCTATAGGGGAGAGTGCTGACGATGTTGTTTATTTACGATGAAGCTCCGCGGATCATGCGCGGGGATGCTATAGGAGATTCTATATGGCGATCCGAAGCCCTCTATAGTTCTATATGGGGACCAGAGGATGCCGATATGCCAACTCTATATACTACTCCGCCGCCCGATCGTCCTCATTCTATATGGGACAGATCTCTATATAGGGAGATGCTGCCCTACCCTATATATATAGAGTAGAGAGGCGCCCTATAGTTCAGATATGGGGGGGGGGGCTTCGAAGCAGTAGGTGTACTCGGCATATAGAGTATAGAGGGACCGACCGGCCTATAGAATATATCACTTGGAGTAGTATATATAGTTGGCATCCTCGGTAACGGGGAACAAGACGCGGGGTTGGGAACCAACCCGGAGAGATCCTCTCCTCAGATATATATATATATAGGCATTCAGTGTGTTCTCGGTCTCGAATGGAGAATGGTCGGGGGTGCAGTGGAGCATTCCTAGAGGGACTTCTGGCCATAGATCTCTATATCTATATATAGATCTATAGATAGGGTTATACTATATATCGGCACATGCCCGGACCTCATTCCATTCAGGATCTTTCCCCGCCCCTCTATTCTTCACTTGCCCTTCATGTTCTTGGGAATCATAGGCGCCATGGGCTAACCCCATATATCTGACGGCTTCCAGATATATATCTATATAGGGCAGTTCTAGATAGGGCGCCAGTCATATCGTATGGACTTATCGATCGACCCGCCCCTATCTCCCCTATCTATATATATAGATGGGGGGCCCCCTATCTGAACTCTGGGGCCCCGCTCCCGGCCCCTATCCACCCCCTAGGCCTTGGGGGTAGGGGCGCCCCCATCTATATATCATATCTCGCCCGGCAAACTCTAATGCCGGGGGGGTGGGGGGCCCGGGGTAGGCGTGTTCATTCGGGTTTATTCACCGAGTCGGCCGCACCACCCCTCACTCTAGATAGGGCCCCCCGGGCGGATGGCCGGGATCACACTTACCTAACCTGGAGCGGTTGGCCCAGGGGGCGCAGCTATCTATCTCCATCTCCCCGGTCGCCCTATCCACCCTATCGGTTCAGTGCTCCCTATACTCTATAGATCTCTTCCCTATCTATATATGGCTGAAATAGATATGATATTAGAGAGAGGGGCCTCTCTACCGACCAGTGCCATATATACCTTCATTGGGCAACACCGCTTCTCTCCGATAGGGCGACCGGCAGAGATTGAGTTGAGTCGACCCCCACCCCGCCCGCCTCAGATATTATGGAGAGGGGCTAGCCAATATCTAGCCGAGGCCCTATCTATCCTATCTCGCCCGGATCCAGATAGTCTAAGATATAGAAGAGAGGGCCGCCCTATGGTTTCCACGGGGCATCCTCTATCGGCCATTCCAATCTTGAAGCCGTGGAACAGCCCGCTATAGGTTCTATAGGGCCCCTCGAGTCACCTACTGTACCACCATCAAGGCCCCTACTCTCTATAGGGGAGGGCCCAGTCCCTATAGATCTAAGTACCAGTTCCAGCTAGACCGATGTTTTCCATTTGCTCCGGCAAGGCACAGGGGAACGCGAAGGCGAAGCTTAGGATTGACCGCGCAGAATAATATTGAATCGGGCCGCAGCCGGGGGACGCAGGACGCAGACACAGTATACTTACCAGATAGATCAGATCGGCCAGGGAGAGCAGGCCCATAGATGAGATGGCGCCGACCCCACTATAGCAAGGATAGGGGCTCTCGATAGACCCGCCCACCGCACCGAAGCCCCCTATAGATATAGACTCCGACAGACATATACATATAGAGAGAGATATAGAGAGAGATAGTAGGAACCGCCCCATCCCACCAGAGATACGGCTACCACCCCTACCTTTAGAGTGCAGGTAGGGACGCCTATAGAGAGTAGGGCGATGCCGGAACCAAACAACTAACACTACCCCTACCGCAACCATCACCCTAGCCCTAGCATATAGAGAACTAGATAGGGGGGGCAACCAAGGAACACCCTAGCCCCAGACCCAAGGAACGATACCGGACTACTCCTATCTGACAAACAACCGGTACCCGCCTAACCCCAACCCACAGACGGATACCAACAGAATCCACACACCCCCAACCCTACCCAGCCCTATCTATCTGTTGCTTCTCGATTGAAAAGGAACCCCGACTCTATACTCTATATATACGCCTATCTATAGCTATTAGAAAGGGGTGGGGGGGCCGGCCCGCCATTATAGTGCATATGAGAGAGATAAGATATATTAGCTGCGCTGCGCCCGGGAAGCATGGCAGCAAGAAGATATATATATATATATATACTCAACTTGCATGTGCCTCTATTCTATTTATTTCGCGGGTCTCAGTTTGATAGATAGTACCGTTGGATCGCCGGTAGTTGGAATTAGGATTCGAAGGTGTCCCGGACTATCTCATAACAAATAGCACTCATCCCCCGATTACATTACTATAACGTTATATCGCCAATAACATCTCATCTCTCTTAGGTTGGTCGTATCGAGATAACAAAGAACCTTATACTTCTATCTAATACGATATGGGCTACGAGATATAGCTGGGGGAGATGGTATAGGCTCTAGGTCTAGGAAGCCCAACAAAACAAAACAAAACAAAACAAAACAAAACAAAACAAAACAAAACAAAACAAAACAAAACAATATTTGCTTTCTATACGTAACATTCTATTCCAGATACAAGTTGTATCCATCGGATACGGTATCTCCATCGTGTTACGTATAGAATCCGATCGATACGACTCGTCGGTGGAGATTCTAGCAAGATCATTAGGTCGAGCGCACCATATATAGATAGGGGGACCTCCATAGTTCCCCGTGAACCCCGGCCTCTCCCTCCCAATGAACCAGCTTTTGTTTTGTAATACTCATCATCATACTCTCCCACCGGCTTTCCCAATAGCAGCATACCCAGTTATAGCCCTATAGTTCTCTGGGGGGGGGCGGCCACCCTGACTGCCGGCACTTCCTGAATATTCCATTGTCGTGTGTGAAGACATGTTCCCGACCGATCAGCACACCACACGAACCTCTCAGATATATAGAGAGGGCGGCCCTATATATAGAGATCTGAACTCTACTGATGATCTGATCTATATATAGGGCAGGGCGGCAGATAGGGCTAACCCCTAACCGTATATATAGATAGGGGACCCAGGCCCCTACCTCATCTATATATGATATACAGGGCCTACCCGACCGAGATCTATATAGATAGGGGCGGGTTTCTGTCCAGTCCAGTCCAGTCCAGTCCAGTCCAGTCCAGTCCAGTCCAGTCCAGGCCAGGCCAGTCCAGACCCGTCCTGGCCAGGCCAGACTATTATTTGAGAGT